CACCTGTACTGTGTTTTCCCAACAGTACTGTGTATTCCTGGTTGTTATCACTGTTATCACACTCACCTGCACTGTGTTTTCCTAACAGTACTACGTATTCCTGGTTGTAATCACTGTTATCACACTCACCTGTACTGTGTTTTCCTAACAATACTGTGTATTCATGGTTGTTATCACTGTTATCACACTCACCTGTACTGTGTTTTCCCAACAGTACTGTGTATTCCTGGTTGTTATCACTGTTATCCCACTCACCTGTACTGTGTTTTCCTAACAATACTGTGTATTCCTGGTTGTTATCACTGTTATCACACTCACCTGTACTGTGTTTTCCTAACAGTACTGTGTATTCCTGGTTGTTATCACTGTTATCACACTCACCTGCACTGTGTTTTCCTAACAGTACTACGTATTCCTGGTTGTAATCACTGTTATCACACTCACCTGTACTGTGTTTTCCTAACAATACTGTGTATTCATGGTTGTTATCACTGTTATCACACTCACCTGTACTGTGTTTTCCTAACAATTTTGTGTATTCCTGGTTGTTATCACTGTTATCACACTCATCTGCACTGTGTTTTCCTAACAGTACTACGTATTCCTGGTTGTAATCACTGTTATCACACTCACCTGTACTGTGTTTTCCTAACAATACTGTGTATTCATGGTTGCTATCACTGTTATCACACTCACCTATACTGTGTTTTCCCAACAGTACTGTGTATTCCTGGTTCTTATCACTGTTATCACACTCACCTGTACTGTGTTTTCCTAACAGTACTGTGTATCCCTGGTTGTTATCACTGTTATCACACTCACCTGTACTGTGTTTTCCTAACAATACTGTGTATTCCTGGTTGTTATCACTGTTATCACACTCACCTGTACTGTGTTTTCCTGAGAATTTTGTGTATTCCTGGTTGTTATCACTGTTATCACACTCACCTGTACTGTGTTTTCCCAACAGTACTGTGTATTCCTGGTTCTTATCACTGTTATCACACTCACCTGTACTGTGTTTTCCTAACAGTACTGTGTATTCCTGGTTGTTATCACTGTTATCACACTCACCTGTACTGTGTTTTCCTAACAATACTGTGTATTCCTGGTTGTTATCACTGTTATCACACTCACCTGTACTGTGTTTTCCTAAAAATACTGTGTTTTCATGGTTGTTATCACTGTTATCACACTCACCTGTCCTGTGTTTTCCTAACAATATCCTGTATTCCTGGTTGTTATCACTCTTATCACACTCACCTGTACTGTGTTTTCTTAACAGTACTGTGTATTCCTGGTTGTTATCACTGTTATCACACTCACCTGTACTGTGTTTTCCTAACAATACTGTGTATTCCTTGTTGTTATCACTGTTATCACACTCACCTGTACTGTGTTTTCCTAACAATTTTGTGTATTCCTGGTTGTTATCACTGTTATCACACTCACCTGTACTGTGTTTTCCCAACAGTACTGTGTATTCCTGGTTGTTATCACTGTTATCACACTCACCTGTACTGTGTTTTCCTAACAATACTGTGTATTCCTGGTTGTTATCACTGTTATCAAACTCACTTCTACTGTGTTTTCCCATCAGTACTGTGTATTCCTGGCAGTTATCACTGTTATCAGACTCACCTGTACTGTGTTTGCCTAACAATATTGTGAATTCCTGGTTGTTATCACTGTTATCACATTAACCTGTACTGTGTTTTCCCACCAGTACTGTGTATTCCTTGTTGTTATCACTGTTGTCCCACTCACCTGTACTGTGTTTTCCTAACAGTTCTACGTATTACTGGTTGTTATCACTGTTATCAAACTCACCTGTACTGTGATTTCCTAACAGTACTGTATATTCCAGGTTGTTATCACTGTTATCACACTCACCTGTACTGTGTTTTCATAACAGTACTGTGTATTCCTGGTTGTTATCACTGTTATCACACTCACCTGTACTGTGTTTTCATAACAGTGCTGTGTATTCCTGGTTGTTATCACTGTTGTCACACTCACCTGTACTGTGTTTTCATAACAATATTCAGTATTCCTGGTTGTTATCAATGTTATCACACTCACCTGTCCTGTGTTTTCATAACAGTACTGTGTATTCCTGGTTGTTATCACTGTTGTCACACTCACCTGTACTGTGTTTTCATAACAATATTCAGTATTCCTGGTTGTTATCAATGTTATCACACTCACCTGTCCTGTGTTTTCCTAACAGTACTGTGTATTCCTGGTTCTTATCACTGTTATCACACTCACCTGTACTGTGTTTTCCTAACAATATTCTGTATTCCTGGTTGTTATCACTGTGATCACACTCACCTGTACTGTGTTTTCCTAACAGTACTGTCTATTCCTGGCAGCTATCACTGTTATCAAACTCACCTGTACTGCGTTTTCCCAACAATACTGTGTTTTCTTGGTTGTTATCACTGTTATTACACTCACCTGTTCTGTGTTTTCCCAACAGTACTGTGTATTCCTTGTTGTTATCAGTGTTATCACACTTACCTGTACTGTGTTTTCCTAACAATACTGTGTATTCCTGGTTGTTACCACTGTTATCACACTCACCTGTACTGTGTTTTCCCAACAGTACTGTGTATTACTGGTTGTTACCACTGTTATCACACTCACCTGTACTGTGTTTTCATAACAATACTGTGTATTCATGGTTGTTATCACTGTTATCACACTCACCTGTACTGTGTTCTCCCAACAGTACTGTGTATTCCTGGTTGTTATCACTGTTATCACACTCACCTGAATTGTGTTTTCCTAACAGTACTGTGTATCCCTGGTTGTTATCACTGTTATCACACTCACCTGTACTGTGTTTTCCCAACAGTACTGTGTATTCATCGTTGTTATCACTGTTATCACACTCACCTGTACTGTGTTTTCCTAACAATATTCTGTATTCCTGGTTGTTATCACTGTTATCACACTCACCTGTACTGTGTTTTCTTAACACTACTGTGTATCCATGGTTGTTATCACTGTTATCACACTCACCTGTACTGTGTTTTCCTAACAATACTGTGTATTCCTGGTTGTTATCACTGTTATCACACTCACCTGTACTGTGTTTTCCTAACAATTTTGTGTATTCCTGGTTGTTATCACTGTTATCACACTCACCTGTACTGTGTTTTCCCAACAGTACTGTGTATTCCTGGTTGTTATCACTGTTATCACACTCACCTGTACTGTGTTTTCCTAACAATACTGTGTATCCCTGGTTGTTATCACTGTTATCAAACTCACTTCTACTGTGTTTTCCCATCAGTACTGAGTAGTCCTTGCAGTTATCACTGTTATCACACTCACCTCTACTGTGTTTGCCTAACAATATTGTGAATTCCTGGTTGTTATCACTGTTATCACATTAACTTGTACTGTGTTTTCCTAACAGTACTACGTATTACTTGTTGTTGTCACTGTTATCACACTCACCTGTACTGTGATTTCATAACAGTACTGTGTATTCCTGGTTGTTATCACTGTTATCACACTCACCTGTACTGTGTTTTCATAACAATATTCAGTATTCCTGGTTCTTATCAATGTTATCACACTCACCTGTACTGTGTTTTCCTAACAGTACTGTCTATTCCTGGTTGTTATCACTGTTATCACACTCACCTGTACTGTGTTTTCCTAACAATATTCTGTATTCCTGGTTGTTATCACTGTGATCACACTCACCTGTACTGTGTTTTCCTAACAGTACTGTGTATCCCTGGCAGCTATCACTGTTATCAAACTCACCTGTACTGCGTTTTCCCAACAGTACTGTGTGTTCTTGGTTGTTATCACTGTTATCACACTCACCTGTACTGTGTTTTCATAACAGTACTGTGTATTCCTTGTTGTTATCAGTGTTATCACACTCACCTGTACTGTGTTTTCCTAACAATACTGTGTATTCCTGGTTGTTACCACTGTTATCACACTCACCTGTACTGTGTTTTCCCCGCAGTACTGTGTATTCCTGGTTGTTACCACTGTTATCACACTCACCTGTACTGTGTTTTCCTAACAATACTGTGCATTCCTGGTTGTTATCACTGTTATCACACTCACCTGTACAGTGTTCTCCCAACAGTACTGTGTATTCATGGTTGTTATCACTGTTATCACACTCACCTGAATTGTGTTTTCCTAACAGTACTGTGTATCCCTGGTTGTTATCACTGTTATCACACTCACCTGTACTGTGTTTTCCTAACAATACTGTGTATTCATCGTTGTTATCACTGTTATCACACTCACCTGTACTGTGTTTTCCTAACAATTTTGTGTATTCCTGGTTGTTATCACTGTTATCACACTCACCTGTACTGTGTTTTCCCAACAATACTGTGTATTCCTGGTTGTTATCACTGTTATCACACTCACCTGTACTGTGTTTTCCTAACAATATTGTGTATTCATGGTTGTTATCACTGTTATCACACTCACCTGTACTGTGTTCTCCCAACAGTACTGTGTATTCCTGGTTGTTATCACTGTTATCACACTCACCTGTACTGCGTTTTCCTAACAATACTGTGTATTCATGGTTGTTATCACTGTTATCACACTCACCTGTACAGTGTTCTCCCAACAGTACTGTGTATTCCTGGTTGTTATCACTGTTATCACACTCACCTGAATTGTGTTTTCCTAACAGTACTGTGTCCCTGGTTGTTATCACTGTTATCACACTCACCTGTACTGTGTTTTCCCAACAATACTGTGTATTCATCGTTGTTATCACTGTTATCACACTCACCTGTACTGTGTTTTCCTAACAATATTCTGTTTTCCTGGTTGTTATCAATGTTATCACACTCACCTGTACTATGTTTTCCCCGCAGTACTGTGTATTCCTGGTTGTTATCACTGTTATCAAACTCAACTGTTTTGTGTTTTCCCAACAGTACTGTGTATTCCTGGCAGTTATCACTGTTATCACATTCACCTGTACTGTGTTTTCCCAACAGTACTGTGTGTTCCTGGTTGTTATCATTCTGGCGGAGGCTGTGTTCCTGACTCTGTTCCTGCTCCCCGGCACCATGGTAGGTGACTCTGTTCCTGCTCCCCAGCACCATGGTAAGTGACTCTGTTCCTGCTCCCCGGCACCATGGTAAGTGACTCTGTTCCTTCCTACCCGGCACCATGGTAAGTGACTCTGTTCCTGCTGCCCGCCACCATGGTAAGTGACTCTGTTCCTGCTGCCCGCCACCATGGTAAATGACTCTGTTCCTGCTCCCCGCCACCATGGTAAGTGACTCTGTTCCTGCTCCCAGGCACCATGGTAAGTGACTCTGTTCCTGCTCCCCGGCACCATGATAAGTGACTCTGTTCCTGCTCCCCGGCACCATGGTAAGTGACTCTGTTCCTGCTCCCCCGGCACCATAGTAAGTGCCCCGCCACCCTGCCAACTTACACAGTGTATACCTGTGATGACTTCCCCATAGTTGTGTAGGACTGTTAATGTTTAGGGCCCTGGCACTGTGATCCTATGCATAGAGCTTAGGTCACAAATCAGGTGAAGTTAAGTAACGTTGGGTGCGGAGAGTCCTTGGATAGGTGACCTTCTCTGGAGTCTTGACTCCTGAGAGTTTCTAGGACTCCTGCACCACATTGAAGCACATGTGATACCTGTTGTCTCGCCCTAGGCAAGTGCGTGTGTTCATAAATTGCCTTTGTTTACCCATCAATGAATGGGTACCTGGTGGGATAAGTCATATTACGGGTAACCTTCTAGCGCCTAACATGCAGCTTGGGTTATCCGGGGTAAGAAAATGTGAGAGCATTCTGCATGCACAGGTTGGTTGAAACAGGCACTTTATAAATATCCATTAACTTCGCTTTTGGTGGGGCGGTGGGGTAGCCTAATGGTTAAAGCGTTGGCTCGTCACGCCGAAGACCCGGGTTCGAATCCCCACATGGGCACAATGTGTGAAGCCCATTTCTGGTGTCCCCAGCCGTGATGTTGCTGGAATATTGCTAAAAGCGGCGTAAAACCAAACTCAGTCAGTCAGTCAGTTTTGGTCTTGGCCTCGAAATTTAATGAAGGACTAAGGCAAAGGCGTAACAATATGAAGTTCAAAAGTTTGATTATTCTGACTAACGAGTACTTGTCTAGGAGAAAATAACTAAACTTACATGTGAGGGTATGTTATAGTACGTATAAGGTACAACGTCTCTGCATCTGTTGTCTAGATCGACAGCTACATCAAGACGGCACTGCACGACGCTCTCCAGTTCAACAACTTCAAGGGTTTGGAAGACAGCAACGCCATAACTAAGATATGGACAGCCATCATGGACCAGGTAGGTTGTCTAGACAATGTCTAAGATATGGACAGCCATCATGGACCAGGTACGTTGTGTGGACAATGTCTAAGATATGGACAGCCATCATCGACCAGGTAGGTTGTGTAGACAATGTCTAAGATATGGACAGCCATCATGGACCAGGTACGTTGTGTAGACAATGTCTAAGATATGGACAGCCATCATAGACCAGGTACGTTGCGTAGACAATGTCTAAGATATGGACAGCCATCATGGACCAGGTAGGTTGTGTAGACAATGTCTAAGATATGGACAGCCATCATGGACCAGGTACGTTGTGTAGACAATGTCTAAGATATGGACAGCCATCATGGACCAGGTAGGTTGTGTAGACAATGTCTAAGATATGGACAGCCATCATGGACCAGGTACGTTGCGTAGACAATGTCTAAGATATGGACAGCCATCATGGACCAGGTAGGTTGTGTAGACAATGTCTAAGATATGGACAGCCATCATGGACCAGGTACGTTGTGTAGACAATGTCTAAGATATGGACAGCCATCATGGACCAGGTAGGTTGTGTAGACAATGTCTAAGATATGGACAGCCATCATGGACCAGGTACGTTGTCTAGACAATGTCTAAGATATGGACAGCCATCATGGACCAGGTAGGTTGTCTAGACAATGTCTAAGATATGGACAGCCATCATGGACCAGGTAGGTTGTCTAGACAATGTCTAAGATATGGACAGCCATCATGGACCAGGTAGGTTGTGTAGACAATGTCTAAGATATGGACAGCCATCAGTACGTTGTGTAGACAATGTCTAAGATATGGACAGACATCATGGACCAGGTAGGTTGTTTAGACAATGTCTAAGATATGGACAGACATCATGGACCAGGTAGGTTGTGTAGACAATGTCTAAGATATGGACAGCCATCATAGACCAGGTAGGTTGTCCAGACAATGTCTAAGATATGGACAGCCATCATGGACCAGGTACGTTGTGTAGACAATGTCTAAGATATGGACAGCCATCATGGACCAGGTAGGTTGTGTAGACAATGTCTAAGATATGGACAGCCATCATAGACCAGGTAGGTTGTCCAGACAATGTCTAAGATATGGACAGCCATCATGGACCAGGTAGGTTGTGTAGACAATGTCTAAGATATGGACAGCCATCAGTACGTTGTGTAGACAATGTCTAAGATATGGACAGACATCATGGACCAGGTAGGTTGTTTAGACAATGTCTAAGATATGGGCAGACATCATGGACCAGGTACGTTGTGTAGACAATGTCTAAGATATGGACAGCCATCATGGACCAGGTAGGTTGTGTAGACAATGTCTAAGATATGGACAGCCATCAGTACGTTGTGTAGACAATGTCTAAGATATGGACAGCCATCATGGACCAAGTACGTTGTCTAGACAACCTCGGACAATGTCTGACATAGGAACAACAACCATGTACGTGAACAGGGCAATGTGAGTTGTTCAGTTGATAATGACGGTACACACAAGACAAGACATCACTGTTCAGGCGAGTTGGGGTTGGAGGGGGTTGGGGAGGTGAGGATATTGGCGGTACGCGTAAGGTAAGGGGAGCAATCATAGGGTATGGAGTTGGTTAGAGGACAGTAAGACGACGTGGTCTTTCTTTCAGATGACGGGTTGTGTTTGCATGTAGTGTAAAGACAGTGTCTGCATGTAGTGTTGTGACTGTGTTGTGTTTCAGCTGAAGTGTTGCGGCCTGGAGGGATACGCTGACTTTAAGGAGACGTTGTGGTGGAAGGGGCGCGGCAACATGAGCATCCCCATCTCCTGCTGCAGCAACATGACGGCGGCCCTAGAGGAGAAGAAACGCACTCAGTTCAGCCCCAACTGCACTGTCTCCCCTAGCATCGACAACACCCACATGGAGCTGGTATGTATACATTGATGAATGATAATCTCGTGGGATACTGTATTACATACGTGCCGGTGACAGGAGGGAGACGTTAGTTGTAGACACTCAACACATGACTTGTACCACACTTCTGAATAAATCGTTTGCAGAGCCTGAGGTAAGAGTACATTTTCCAATAATTGCTTAAAATGGATAAATATAGTGTATAAATAACACAACCTGTTGATACCATGTGTTGTTTGTTCCAAGCATCGCATATTGCAGTGAAGCGCGTGTGGAGGAAATAAAATAATAGCTCATGGGTGTGACATTGTTTATTTCACTGGTGTATTTAATACAGTATGTTCTTGCAAACAACCGATCTGTATATATTACCACTGTGTGTATCATACATGTATTTAACATAGGTAATAGTGTAAAACGTTGAAGTGGTTGTCCATCACGGGTACTGGTCTGTTGCAGGGGTGTTACGAGGCCATGATCGACAAGATATTTGAGTCTCAAGTGAGTATCGGGATATTTGCCGGTGTCTGGGCTGTCATCTTCCTCATGGAAGTTATCCTCTTCATTTCCGCCGTGTCCGTCATCAGAGAGTCGGTCGCGAAGAAGAAGAAGGTTCACCCACGGTCGCGGCGTCACAGACGGCGTTAACGTCGGGAGGGCACAACGATGTATACAGATAAAAGTCTGGAACAACAGATACTTAGAGAAATAGAGGGGGAACCCATTCCTGGTGACCCGAGGGCAGCGTCTTGGGCGAATCTGTTGTGGACAAGTGTACGCGCTTAGTGTTCCTTTTGACTAGCGCCACCTGGAGGCCATGACGTCACAGGGTATGGCGATGCAATGTGTCCTGTACCGCCATTTTGGACAAATTGCAACGCTTGTTTCTTGACTTTACTTTAGACATTTTTCATATGTTGTTTGGTTGATATGATTTTAGACTGATCTTATAATGTGTGCTGCATAAGTGGAGTCATTACGTCATCACTTGATGACACAGCAGTGCATCCACAAAGTCTGACTCCGGTGAGATAATTTGTCAGTAAATTATGCAGGAATCTACTACCCATGAGGAATGGGTACATCTGAGGAAGAGATGTAGACACAGAGATTGGCCTGTTACGGACATGCTTCCAAGTGGAGTCCAGGATTTATCAGGATACTGCTGTGTAGGATTTGGTTTGGACTGGGTAGTGTCTTCTCTTCACGAGGGAATACACAGCCATTGAGCTTCCTGCATGAACATATATCCTGAGTGTGGAGCTGGTGCAAATACAGCATGTAAACACGAAAAACACTTAGCACTATGCACAGATACACACACAGGCAGACAGACAGACATACAGATACACACACAGGCAGACAGACAGACATACAGATACACACACAGGCAGACAGACAGACATACAGATACACACACAGACAGACAGACATACAGATACACACACAGGCAGACAGACAGACATACAGATACACACACAGGCAGACAGACATACAGATACACACACAGGCAGACAGACAGACATACAGATACACACACAGGAAGACAGACAGACATACAGATACACACACAGGAAGACAGAGAGACATACAGATACACACACAGGAAGACAGACAGACATACAGATACACACACAGACAGACAGACATACAGATACACACACAGGCAGACAGACAGACATACAGATACACACACAGACAGACAGACATACAGATACACACACAGGCAGACAGACAGACATACAGATACACACACAGGCAGACAGACATACAGATACACACACAGGCAGACAGACATACAGATACACACACAGGCAGACAGACAGACATACAGATACACACACAGGCAGACAGACATACAGATACACACACAGGCAGACAGACATACAGATACACACACAGACAGACAGACAGACATACAGATACACACACAGGCAGACAGACAGACATACAGATACACACACAGACAGACAGACAGACATACAGATACACACACAGGCAGACAGACAGACATACAGATACACACACAGACAGACAGACATACAGATACACACACAGGCAGACAGACAGACATACAGATACACACACAGGCAGACAGACATACAGATACACACACAGGCAGACAGACAGACATACAGATACACACACAGGAAGACAGACAGACATACAGATACACACACAGGCAGACAGACAGACATACAGATACACACACAGGCAGACAGACAGACATACAGATACACACACAGGCAGACAGACAGACATACAGATACACACACAGGAAGACAGACAGACATACAGATACACACACAGGCAGACAGACAGACATACAGATACACACACAGGAAGACAGACAGACATACAGATACACACACAGGCAGACAGACAGACATACAGATACACACACAGGCAGACAGACAGACATACAGATACAGACACAGGCAGACAGACAGACATACAGATACACACACAGGCAGACAGACAGACATACAGATACACACACAGGAAGACAGACAGACATACAGATACACACACAGGCAGACAGACAGACATACAGATACACACACAGGCAGCCAGACAGACATACAGATACACACACAGGAAGACAGACAGACATACAGATACACACACAGGCAGACAGACAGACGGACGCGCACACAGGAAGACAGACAGACATACAGATACACACACAGGCAGACAGACAGACGGACGCGCACACAGCTTGCATTTGCATACACGCGTGCGCACAAACACACACACAGAGTTGAAATGTACCTGATGAAGGACACACACACACACACACACACGCATCTCTCTCTCTCTCTCTCTCTCTCTCTCTCTCTCTCTCTCTCTCTCTCTCTCTCTCTCCCTCCCTCTCTCTCTCTCTCTCTACTCCCTCCCTCCCTCTCTCTCTCTCTCTCTCTCTCTCTCTCTCTCTCTCTCTCTCTCTCTCTCTCTCTCTCTCTCTCTCTCTCTCTCTCTCTCTCTCTCTCTCTCTCTCTCTCTCACACACACACACACAGAACCTTTCGCTTACCCCAGAACACCGAGTTCCGCACATTACAGTTGCCATCCATGAATTGTTCCCTTTCTTGTTCTGCTGTGTGAATGCAGTGCTGTGTAGTTATCACGACCCTGGTTATGGGACCCACCTTCATTTTGCACGCATGTTCTCGTGAACCTCCAGTGACACGAGAGTTCAGTACAAACACTATCATTAATGTATATATCGATTGGCATATAAACGTGTTTTAAATTTGAAAGGAGTGGGTAGTGTTTTAACAATATGAGTGCTTTGACAATTGTTGGAGTGTAGCGAGACTGTACCTATTGTAGCTGTACATGTAGTCGTACACGTACTGCTCAGCTACTGAGCTACTGCTATTGTTTGGCACAGTTGAGATGCTAAATTGAGAACACCTATTCTTTGGCACAATAGAGACGCTAATTGAGAACACCTATTGTTAGACCCAAAAGATAATGCTAAATTGAGAACAACTATTGTTTGGCACAATAGAGACGCTAAATTGAGAACACCTATCGTTTGGCACAATAGAGACACTAAATTGAGAACACCTAATGTTTGGCACAATAGAGACGCTAAATTGAGAACACCTAATGTTTGGCACAATAGAGACGCTAAATTGAGAACACCTAATGTTTGGAACAACAGAGATGCTAAATTGAGAACACCTAATGTTTGGCACAATAGAGACGCTAAATTGAGAACACCTATTGTTAGACACAAAAGATAATGCTAATTTGAGAACACCTATTGTTTGACCCAAAAGATAATGCTAAATTCAGAAGACCTATGATGTCGAGGAACAGGTCTATCAAGATGTTCTTGTCACACACCTCTTCCGCGAGACAGTCGAGATGTTCTTGTCACACACCTATTCCGCGAGACAGTCGAGATATTATTGTCACACACCTATTCCGCGAGACAGTCGAGATATTATTGTCACACACCTATTCCGCGAGACAGTCGAGATATTATTGTCACACACCTATTCCGCGAGATAGTCGAGATATTATTGTCACACACCTATTCCGCGAGACAGTCGTGATGCTATAGTCGCACCCCTCAAGCTCGACATAATGAAGATGTCGCCAGTATACAACAGTATGATGTATACAACTGACGTTTGCTTAGTTATCAGCGGATATTGTTCAAACCTAAGAATATCGATAACAATAGCAGAAGAGAAGGAGGATCTCCCTACAGCAACAGTAGTGTCGTGACGCATATTCGAGAGTTAAATAATATTCCTTAATACTTAGGTGAATGCTTTGCTGCAAAATCTGTAAAAATACAATGTCTGATTCTATCGGTATCTGCATACATGACTTACTATCAGCGACTTTGAACAAAATCAATAGAAACATAATGTCCGTTTTATCGATTTTACATACTCGTGTTGCTACCCATCGACATTGTCAGTGGTTAATATGTCAACACGATAGATGGTCCGTTATCAGAAATCTAGGGCTTTGTAGGACACCTTGATTGAAATTGTGACATTTATCTGATCTTTCTGCTAATGCTCAGCTTTCACCGCAACAAAACATTGTTTGACAGGACAACATAACTCCGGCTTGGTCGTAGATTATCAGCATCATGCATACACTGACAATGGAGGGGCGCACCTGAATCACAGAAGGTATGTTACTGTCTTTAATAAATCCCACGATCAACTATATGATGTTCACTTTTGTAAACCCCACGATCAACTATATGGTGTTCACTTTTGTAAATCCCATGATCAACTATATGGTGTTCACTTTTGTAAATCCCACGATCAACTATATGGTGTTCACTTTTGCAAACCCCATGATCAACTATATGGTGTTCTCTTTTGTAAATCCAACCATCAACTATATGGTGTTCTCTTTTGTAAATCCCACGATCAACTATATGGTGTTCACTTTTGCAAACCCCACGATCAACTATATGGTGTTCACTTTTGCAAACCCCACGATCAACTATATGGTGTTCACTTTTGTAAATCCCACGATCAACTATATGGTGTTCACTTTTGCAAACCCCATGATCAACTATATGGTGTTCTCTTTTGTAAATCCAACCATCAACTATATGATGTTCTCTTTTGTAAATCCCACGATCAACTATATGGTATTCACTTTTGTAAATCCCACGATCAACTATATGGTGTTCACTTTTGTTAACCCCACGATCAACTATATGGTGTTCACTTTGTAAATCCCACGATCAACTATATGGTTTTCTCTTTTGTAAATCCCACGATCAACTATATGGTGTTCACTTTAATAAATCCCACGATCAACTATATGGTGTTCACTTTTGTAAACCCCACGATCAACTATATTCTGTTCACAATAGTTAACCCCACGATCAACTATATGGTGTTCTCGTTTGTAAATCCCACGATCAACTATATGGTGTTCACTTTTGTAAATCCCACGATCAACTATATGTTGTTCTCGATTGTAAATCCCACGATCAACTATATGGTGTTCACTTTTGTAAATCCCACGATCAACTATATGGTGTTCACTTTAATAAATCCCACTATCAACTATATGGTGTTCACTTTTGTAAATCCAACGATCAACTAAATGATGTTCACAATAGTAAACCCCACGATCAACTATATGGTGTTCACTTTTGTTAACCCCACGATCAACTACATGGTGTTCACAATAGTAAATCCCACGATCAACTATATGGTGATCACTTTTGTAAATCCCACGATCAACTGTATGATGTTCTGTTTTGTAATTCCCACGATCAACTATATGGTGTTCACTTTTGTAAACCCCACGATCAACTATATTCTGTTCACAATAGTTAACCCCACGATCAACTATATGGTGTTCTCGTTTGTAAATCCCACGATCAACTATATGGTGTTCACTTTTGTAAATCCCACGATCAACTATATGTTGTTCTCGATTGTAAATCCCACGATCAACTATATGGTGTTCACTTTTGTAAATCCCACGATCAACTATATGGTGTTCACTTTAATAAACCCCACGATCAACTATATGGTGTTCACTTTTGTTAACCCCACGATCAACTATATGGTGTTCACAATAGTAAATCCCACGATCAACTATATGGTGATCACTTTTGTAAATCCCACGATCAACTGTATGATGTTCTGTTTTGTAATTCCCACGATCAACTATATGGTGTTCACTTTTTTGAATGCGTGAGTTTAGTTTTACGCCGCACTCAGCAATATTCCAGCTATATGGCGGCGGTCTGTACCAGACAATCCAGTGATCAACAGCAAGAACATCGATCTGCGCAATTGGGATACGATGACATGTGTCAACCAAATCAGCGAGCCGGACCACCCGATCCCGTAAGTCGCCTCTTACGACAAACGTAGTCGCCTTTTGTGACAAGCATGGGTTGCTGAAGACCTATTCTACCCCTGATCTTCACGGGTCGTTCACTTTTGTAAATCCCACGATCAACTATATGGTGTTCACTATAGTAAATACAACGATCAATGGTGCGGTCATAGGTGTAACGAATCCAGCTATCAATGGTGTTCACTAGAAGATTCTCCCGTTGGTTAGTGTGGTCTTAACGTTAAAGAATCTTACGTTTAATGGTGTAAAACTCCTGCGATCGATGACAGTGTTCACTGTAGTAACTCCCGCGATCGACGGCAGTGTTCACTGTAGTAACTCCCGCGATCGATGGCAGTGTTCACTATAGTAACTCCCGCGATCGATGGCAGTGTTCACTATAGTAACTCCCGCGATCGATGGCAGTGTTCACTATAGTAACTCCCGCGATCGATGGCAGTGTTCACTGTAGTAACTCCCGCGATCGATGGCAGTGTTCACTATAGTAACTCCCGCGATCGATGGCAGTGTTCACTGTAGTAACTCCCGCGATCGATGGCAGTGTTCACTATAGTAACAGTGTTCACCCGCGATCGATGGCAGTGTTCACTATAGTAACACCCGCGATCGATGGCAGTGTTCACTGTAGTAACTCCCGAGGTCGATGGCAGTGTTCACTATAGTAACACCCGCGATCGATGGCAGTGTTCACTGTAGTAACTCCCGAGGTCGATGGCAGTGTTCACTATAGTAACTCAAGCGAACGATGGCAGTGTTCACTGTAGTAACTCCCGCGATCGATGGCAGTGTTCACTATAGTAACTCCCGCGATCGATGGCAGTGTTCACTGTAGGAACTCCCGCGATCGATGGCAGTGTTCACTGTAGTAACTCCCGCGTTCGATGACAGTGTTCACTGTAGTAACTCCCGCGATCGATGGCAGTGTTCACTACAGTAACTCCCGCGATCGGTGGCAGTGTTCACTGTTACTAATCAAGTTCAGTGTCCGACGTCTCCCTGTATTTTTCCCTTCTTTCAAGACACGCATCTGGTTCATTAAACAAGTATTCTGTTTTCGTAAATCTTGAGAATAAATGTTGACTCCAGCAAAATACATCATGAAAATAGACAGGTTAGCTATGCCCCGTTCACATGAAATCGATGAATGTCGAATAATGTATATAAATATATATCTTGACAGGAGATATATCGAATCGATTGACAACTCTTGTGCCCCTGACAGATACGCAAAATACTTGTATATACCCCGCGGGGGGTTGAGACAAGCCTGCCTCAGCTGACAGTGGGGGACTGCTACATTCCCCGCCTACCCTGGCCTGTATGAACGTAATTAAAGTCTCCCGACTCACTGGAAATATTCCGCCAATCATCCAGGGCAATATAGGACGTATCTACACCACGTGACCGGCATGTACACGTTCACACGTTCTCCTGTTGCCAACGGGGCAGCGAGTGATCACCGCGTGCAGCTCCCACCTGTGGGAGTTCAATGTTAATCCAACTCACTCACTCACTAACTACTTCAAAATATCCTGTGCGAATGTGCATGCTTTATGATATACCCCATTATTACCATGGCAGCATCGTGTGAATGGATTATGGCAAAGTTTTGGCGGTGAGACTTGGTGACTTGTCTGATTGTACGTCGACCTCTTGTACGATGCACCTTCTGTCTAACACGGCACCAAAATACAGATTTAACACCTTTGAGACAAACCCACATTTAGGACATACTGATGACTGCTGTGACCTGACTGCCACACGTTTACAATCAGGTACACCTAAAGTCCATATCGACCAGGCACGACATCTGAGCATACTGAATACCAAGCACTGGGCTGTGTCAGGAGGCCGACTTCGTCATTATTTCTCTAAAGCCTGTCCATATATGTAAGCAGCTCTCAAAGCACACCGCTATCAGGGTGAGGACTAGTGTAAAGGCAGGAATACAAATGATTCCATTTATGGAGTGGAGGTTATTAGCAGGATGTACCCTGTACCTACTGGCACCTGTAATCAACATGTGCTACTTTCATGACACTGCAGATGAATGAACTAACAGTGTCTAAATAAATATATACAACAGATAACTAATTGACTAATTATATACTCTCCCAAAAATGAAACGCATCATGAAAATAGCAATTTCATGTAGCAATGAATTAAAACGTGATTCATTTTACAAAAGGTTTTGCTCTGTTTATGAGTCCTATGATGTTTATGTTTTGAAACATCAAAACAAAACGCACCATCCGCAAAATACCCGCATTTAACAGCATGATTTTCAATTTCGGCGTGTAGTGTCACAGAATACACAATTCACATGCAATGCACGTTAAAGTTTGGGATCAGATAGTCTCAATGATGGGTATAAAAGATTGATCGCTGTCTGTCGATTATTCACTGTATTTGGAATATTGTTGACGAACGCAAAATGTCACGTCTAAGTGAAGCCAACCGTCATATCGCCATTGGTTTGCTTGAAGCTGGCCAGTCTCAACGTGCAGTTGCCCGACGCTTGAATGTTCACCAAAGCACCATTTCACGGCTCTGGGAGAGATATCGCCGGCAGAATGCGGTAGCAGATGCCCCTCGTAGTGGGCGACCTCGAGCGACCACTGCAGCGCAGGATCGCTACATCCGGGTACATCACCTGCGTCATCGAACAGCTACGGCGACCAGTACTGCTCGACAAATACCCTGATTGAGGAGGCTTTCTGCACAGACCGTCAGTAGCAGGTTGAGAGAGGCTGGTTTGCCGTAGGAGAAGTGATTTGGTGATGATCCAGGGCAACCTGACAGCTCAACGGCACTGTGACGAAATCCTACGCCTACACCTCCTTCCAATCATTGATCGCCAGAGGGAGTTGTTTCAACAGGACAATGCCAGGCCCCACACAGCACGTCACACAAGAGACTTCCTCCAGAACCACAACATCAATGTGCTCCCCTGGCCCTCAAGATCACCGGACTTAAACCCGATCGAACATCTGTGGGATGCCCTGGACAGACGGGTGCGACGCCGTAACCCTCAGCCCCAGACACTTCAGCAACTCGCACAGGAACTACAGTCAGAGTGGGCTGCGATTGGGCAACACGAGATTCTGAGACTTATTCGTTCGATGCCTAGGCGATGCCGTGCAGTTCTGTATGCCCACGGTGGTCACACAAGGTATTGACTTCAGCGCCACCAAACGTCTCCATGTGACACTCAAACTGACTTTCCTCGAGTTGGTGCCAAAGACGGATAAGTCTGCATCCCCAGTGTGCAATTTCGCTATATTTCATTGACTCA